AGAACCTTGGACCCAGGTCTCCCCAGGGCCAGCCCAACACCCAAACCACAATACCAGGCCTGCTCTTCCACGTTCCCTTGCAGACCTTCTATTTCTCAGCCCCAGTGAAGTTCTCACAACCTCCAAAGGTACCTACCCGGCGATTGGTGAAATAGGTATAGAATTCTTTGACCAGAATGGTTTTAATGAGGGCAGGATCCAAAATGGCCATCACAGGTTGCCGGCCATCAAATATTCTAATTGTCAAAATAAAAAAAAGATGTTTTGAAATGTAGGCTTTATCTTTGTAAGAAGACAGGATCAAGATTTCCTATTTTCCAACTGAACAATTGGCCAAGCACAGAACATCATCCTGATGTTCAACTCTGAAAGGATGTGAGGGGTCCTTGGTGGTCTCTGAGCTTGCTTGTTTTCTTGAGGACATTTCGTGACTCAACTAGGTAACATCATCAATCCCAGCTGCAACCCACACACATCCCTTTGGATACCAATAAAGGGGAATATCTGTAGCTCAGGGTTGAAGTGAAGGTTCCTTGGTGCTCACTGAGCTTGCTTGTTTTCTTGCAGTCTAACATGGATGATGTTCCCTAGTTGGGTCATGAAACGTCCGCAAGAAAACAACCAAGCTCAGAGAGCACCAAGGACCCCACAAGCCTATTATTTTTCCTCCTCCTCCTCCTCCTCCTCCTCCTCTTCCTCCTCCTCCTCCCCCCTGCAAACCGTCCTCGTTTCTAGCAGTGATGGTGTTCCCTAGTTGGTTCATGAAATGTCTGCAAGAAATGCTCAGAGAGCACCAAGGACCCTTCACTTCAACCCTGAGCTGCAGATATTCTCCTTTATTGGTATCCAAAGGGGTGTGTATGTTGCAGCTGTGATTCTGCACAATTGTTTTAATCCTTAAGGGTTCGAGGAGGGGAGAAAATAAGGACAGGGGCTCTCAGGAATGACAATGGGCTGTCCAACCTACATCTGTGCAGAGGTGGGTATTCAGCAGGTTCTCACCAGTTCTGGAGAACCGGTAGTGGAAATTTTGAGTAGTTGGGAGACCCAGCAAATCCCACCTCTGACTGGCCCCGCCAACCCCATCTCTTCTCTGCCTCCCATCGAGTCTCAGCTGATCTGCTGGGTCTCCTTTGGTTGCCCTGCACAGGAGAAAGGAGCTGGAATGCAGGTTAGTGGGGTGGGGGAGGGAAATGGGGATTTTGCAGTATATCCTTCCCCTGCCAAGCCATGCCCACAGAACCGGGGTAAAAAAAATTTGAATCTCACCCCTGCATCTCTGCCCTGTGAGCAAAACCAAATTAAGTAATGCAGTTCTTAGTGAATCACGGGAGCATTAAATGAATCCAGCTTTCCCAATGAGTTCGCTTGTTGGATGCCAGCTGAGAAGGTCATAAGCTGCCATATTGTGACCCCAGGAAGCTGCAATGGTCCTAAAAACAAGGGCCAGTCTTTTTTCTTTTCTTTTATTTGACTGTGTGGATGCTGTGATGGTTGTAGCTGTGAGGACCTTCTAGAGGTGACATTTTGACGGGTGACTTACCCCCAGATCTTGCCATATTTCTCATAGCATCTTTGGTCAAAGTAAAACATACCCTGTCAAATTAAAGAAGGATATCCATGAAAACTTGGCAATGCAATCCTTTCTCCATCCAAGACTGGAAGAATATAAGAGGCCGTTAAAAATGCTTCTATCTGGCGTTGATCGTAAAGGAAAACAATGTATAAAATAAAAAGAAATAAGAACCTTAAGAAATATACTATTATATATAGGTTAAAGTACAAGGAATCATAAAGTATGAGCTTTTATTCCTCTTTCGTTTTGATTAAGCCAAATAAATGATTTATTTATAAAAATATATAGTTGTAATCCAGGAGTAAGAATAGGTAATACGTCATATATATTATTAGTATAGGTATTTTACAATGGATAGAAAGTAACTGCCACTTAATAATTTAGATGGAACATTTAAATCACTATCAAACTGTACTAGAGGAAAATAAGATTGGTTGTCCTATAGAATTTGTTGTGATCTTTGTTTGCACAATTTTGTATTTTTACTTTTGTATTTGTATATTTTAATTTTTTGTATTTAATACAGTTTTTAAAAATTTTTAAGAAATGCTTCAATCTGTATATCTTGAGTCTCTATTGCTATGACGTTATGGTTAAACCGATATGGCGATAAGAGTTTCAGAATGAAGACCAAGGGATTCTAAGAGAGGTGCCAAAGAAAGGCAGGTGGCTTTAGAGATAGTCCTCAACATACAACTGGAGTGAAAGGTTGGATGTTGAGGATGAGCTGTACTAGTAGCCCTTTATTCTCTTGGATCTTCTTTTGAGGAAGCCAAGATGAGGTGACACAGGTCACAATCCTCCTCCTCTTTTAATGACCCCATAATCCCTTGCACCACTCCTGACACAAGTCACAACATCCCCCACAATTTAGGAAAGGAATAGAAAAAAAATGACCCCTTTTCACCCAAACTCGTTGGGTTTCTCTACAAGTTACTAGGATGCGAAAGAATGCAACACACTCACATTCCGATATTTATGGAAAGTTCCGATAAAAGGCAGGGGTCTTGGCCCAGGAATCCCCAACTTCTTAAAGAAATTATACGGCCAGAT